CCGGGATCCCTCCGGGTGCAGGATCCGGCTCCTCAGGGATCCAGTGGTGCCCCAGGATCCCTCCGGGTGCAGGATCCGGCCGTGCTCAGGGATCCAGTGGTGCCCCGGGATCCCTCCGGGTGCAGGATCCGGCCACTCAGGACCCTGCCGGGTGCTCGGGGCAGCCCCAGGCCCAAGACCTCGCCCTCCCCCTATGGCCAGATCCTGACCTGGGTGCCATGGGATGTCCCTCAGTGTCCCCTGGGTGCTATGGGTGTCCCTTAGTGTCCTCCTGGTGCTGTGGGGCCCTTGGGTGTCCCCTGGGTGCCACAGGACCCACAGGTGCCCTTAGTGTCCCCTGGGTGTCCCTTAGTGTCCCCTGGAGGCCGTGGGTGTCCTCAGTGTCCCCCAGTGTCCCCTGGGTGCCCCTTAGTGTCCCCTGGGCGCCCCCCGCCTGTCCCCTGGAGGCCGTGGGTGTCCTCAGTGTCCCCCAGTGTCCCCTGGGTGCTGTGGGGCCCTTGGGTGTCCCCTGGGTGCCACAGGATCCACAGGTGCCCTTGTGTCCCCTGGGTGTCCCTTAGTGTCCTCTGGGTGTCCCCTGGGTGCCACAGGACCCACAGGTGCCTTCAGTGTCCCCTGGGTGTCCCTTAGTGTCCTCTGGGTGTCCCTTGGGTGCTGTGGGTGTCCCTGGGTGTCCCCTGGAGGCCGTGGGTGTCCTCAGTGTCCCCTGGCTGCCCCCGGGCTGGTGGGTCCCCCACGTCGCCGATGTCCCCATGGGTCCGGGTCCCTGGGGTGGCCCCTTGAGCTTGCTGTCATTGCTTGTCCCCCATGTCCCCAATGTCCCCGTGGATCAGGGTGCCAGGGGTGCCCCCTCAGTCTCACTGGTCGCTGCTGTCCCCCATGTCCCCGATGTCCCCCTGGGTCACGGTGCCGTGGGTGCCCCCTCGGTCTCGCTGTCACTGCTGTCTCCCATGTCCCCGAGGTCCCCGAGGTCCCTGATGTCCCCGTGGGTCAGGGCGAAGGGTGGCAGCTCCTCGTCGGAGGAATGGATCAGGGTGCCAGGGGTGCCCCCTCAGTCTCACTGGTCGCTGCTGTCCCCCATGTCCCCGATGTCCCCCTGGGTCACGGTGCCGTGGGTGCCCCCTCGGTCTCGCTGTCACTGCTGTCTCCCATGTCCCCGAGGTCCCCGAGGTCCCTGATGTCCCCGTGGGTCAGGGCGAAGGGTGGCAGCTCCTCGTCGGAGGAACCCAGCGAGTCCTCGTCCCCCAGGCGTGTCCCCAGCCCCACCGCCCCGAAGGCCAGCGGCCCCCGCAGCAGCCGGATCTGCGGGGACAGGGGACAAAGGGGACAGGGGACACGGGAACACAATGGGTGATGGGACAAGGGGACGGGGCCAAGGGGACAGGATGGGGACGAGGGGATGGGGACAAGGGGGCAGGGGGACATGATGGGTGATGGGACAAGGGGATGGGGACATGGGGACAAGAGGACGGGGGGACATGATGGGTGATGGGACAAGGGGATGGGGACAAGGGGATGGGGGACGAGGGGAGAGGGGGACCTGATGGGGGGTGG